GGGGGAGGCGCCAAATATCAACAGTACTTAAGCTATATAGGTAGGTTAATAACAATGTACCTACCTATATAGTTTAAGTTTAAAAAATTTGGCTCTCAAAAGAAATTTCAGTGGTTGTACTGTTGATAGTTGGCTCTGTTGACTAATGAGTTTGCCGACCGCTGGGCTAGGGCATTGGGTGCCTTTTTTTTTTTTTTCTTGCCTACTTGCTCTGTCTAGAAATTGTAAGAGCAGTCATCTTGTCTAGTTCCTAGTCTTAGAGGAAAAGCTTTTAGTCTTTCACTGTTTTAACGTATTCACTGTGGATTTTTCATGTATGGATTTTATTATGTTAAAGTAGTTTCCGTCTGCCCTAGCTGGTTTGCTTAGTGATTAGAGCATCAGCCCAAGGATTGAAGGGTCCTAGGTTGGATTCTGGTCAAGGGCACGTACTTTGGTTGAAGGCTCGACCTCTGGCCCCGGTTGGGGCGTGTGCGGGAGGCAACCAATTATGTGTCTCTCTCACATAGTCGTTCTTCTCCTTCTGTCACTACCCCTCTCCTCTACTCTCTCTGAAAAACTGAAAAAAAAATCCTCTGGTGAGGATTAACAACAACAAAAAAGTGGTTTCCTTCTATTTCTAGTTTCTTGAGTGTTTTTATCCTGAAAGGGTGTTGAATTTTGCCAAATGTTTTTTCTGTATCCATTGAGATGATCATGTGGTTTTATTCTTCATCTGTTAATGTGGTGTATTCTCATTGATTGGTTTTCGTATTGCAGCATCTTTGTACTGCAGGATAAATCCCATGTGGTGGTGGTGTATAATCCTAATATGCTGCTGAATTCAGTTGGCTAGGATTTTGTTGAGGATTATTGTATCAGTGTTCATAAGGAATATTGCTCTATAGTTTTCCTTTCTTGCAATGTCTGGCTTTGGCATTAGGGCAATGAATTATAAAGTGTTGCCTGCTCTTCACTTTTTTGGGGCAGAATTTGAGAAGGCTTGATGGTAGTTATTTAAGTTTTTGGTAGAATTCACTAGTGAAGCCATTAGGGCCAGGGCTTTTCTTTGTCAGGGTTTTGATGACTGATTCAGTCTCCTTGCTAGTTAATTACTTTGGAGAGAATTTGTTGTTCTTCGCCTGTTTCAGTTTCACATTGTGGCCAACTACCAGAAAAGGGGCACAGTTGGGAAAAGGGGGGTGTCATGGGAGAGAAGTGGGGGATTGTTGGGTAGAGTAGCAGGAGCCTCCCCCAGGTTCCTGTGTAGCCTGTTACCTCTGGAGCATGGCCCTGAGGACCCTGCTCTTTGTCCTATAACGTCAGTGAGGACATGGCCGTATGGAGTGAGCCACAGCCAACCACATGCTCCAAGTGGCCAAGTCAGCCCCACACAGGGTCCTCATGCGCCTGACCAGCTGGCTTCCCTGGTATGTTTCTCAGAATTGAGTGCCATGTTGTTGTCCTGATGGGGTTTGTAGGCAGCCATACGGAAAGTTGTCAGGCAGTTCAAACTCCGCTGGGGCTGCCACCTGCTCCCCTGACTGGAGGCTTTCTTGGTGACTGGACAGTTGTCAGCTGTGGGACCCCTTCAGGTGCTCCAACCCACTAGAATCCCTACCCCTGGGATGCCATCATCTGGTGGGCTATTGGGAGTCTGTCCCCAGGTTGGGTTTCCGGCCTGGCTTGGTGGTGTGAGGGCTTGTCTGCTCTGGGGTCAGACACAGTTGGCTCAGAGCGAGCTGTCCCCCTTCTCACAGTGCCTCTGTGGGGCGGGTTCTGACTGTTCTAACTTGGGTGCTTTGGTTCTGGCCCCAGCTGAACATCCATGTGGGGAACATCTCCCTGGTGGACCAGTTTGAGTGGGACATGTCAGAGAAGGAGAACTCGCCCGAGAAGTTCGCCCTGAAGCTGTGCTCGGAACTGGGACTAGGCGGGGAGTTTGTCACCACCATCGCCTACAGCATTCGAGGACAGCTGAGTTGGCATCAGAAGACCTACGCCTTCAGGTAGGATCGCGATGGGTGTCTCTGTCATTCCTCTGCAAACCTGTATTTGGGAAAAGACTTCTCCCTGCGCATGGTGATGTCTCTGGGATTTTCTGGAGCTTCGCAGTATGGTTTGGCCTTGGGCAGCCTCGCTCCTTCTGCCACCTCTTATATCCCAGAAGTCGGGCTCCCCCCCACCCCTGCCCATCATGGAGGGGGTGGGTCTAAGGAGATGGGGTATCTGCCCCCTTTGTCCTCCCCCCCCCTGCCCCCCCGCACTGCCCTGGGCCGCACTCCGGGCCAGCAGCCCCTCTACGGCCCTCATACCCCTCCATCCTCCTCTCTACACTCTTGCCCACACTGCCTGTCAGGGTTGCACCCAGAATTCTTCATCTGATGGACTTGCGTTCTGTCTCAAACACGGGCTCCTCCATACGGCCCTCCAGGCCCACAGAGCCAGGGAATCCTCCAGCTGCTGCTTTCACTGTTGCCTCTCGCCATCGTGCAGTCAGAGGCCAGTTGGTGAGCACCCACGCTGGCCGGACCCCGTACCGGTGCCATGGAAGATAAAGAGCCAAATTCAGGCTGCCTGCGAAGGTGGAAGTGTAAAGAGAACATTCCAGTCCAGTGTCCTATGTGCTAGGGTTGGGGGTGGACAGACATGGCCTTCCTGTTGGTTTTGGTCTCACAGTGAGAAACAGAGGCCTGGCAGGAGGCAGGACTTGGGGAGTGTTAACTGAGTGGTGATGCTTGCCTGCCTCAGGACTGTGCCGTCAACCAACCCTGTCCCTGAGCTCCTCTTTCCCATTTGGATGGTGTGTGGGTGGGGGTGGGGGGTCTGAGTATCCCTGCATCAAAACAGGATGTTAGGATTTATTCTGCTCATGAAGCTGTCATCATCCACATGTGGTGGTCATTACTTAGAGACTGAGCTTCAAATGCTGCATGAGGAGCAAGTATGAAGGTCTTTTTGCAAAGACATAACAATTAATGGGGCTCGTGAGTATGTTTGTGTCTCAGCTGGTTCTCCCAGAATTCCCAAGAGGCAGCTTTCTTACGGCTTCCTGTAAATCTGAGCAAGAGAGAAGGAATGATCGCACACCACAGGACTCGAGGTTCCAGGCCTTGGAGACTCCGAGCCCCGTGGGGGTCTGTGCTCCCAGCATCCAGGCTGACACGGCACATCCGTCACCTCCCGTAACCCTCCAGCAGCCCTGGCAACCAGGTGGTCCTGGCCCAGAGGGGAGAGGGGAGGTGGTGTCTGCCCACATCTCCCGCTTCCTGTGGGAGGCCTGCTCGAGGTGTGTCAGTGCGTGTCTCTTTACTCTTCGCTGGAACCAAGGCCACTGGGTCTAAGACCAGTTTGGCACGGCCTTGCTTCCCAGAGCTGACCCTGAGGTCCTGGGAGGGAGTGACATTTTGCAGGTCTTAGGATTGACATCAACACCGAGTACCTCATTCCCCACATGCTGATTGAGTCAGAACACACGTTCTGACTGGCAGGTGCAGGCGTGGGGGTGTCACGCTCTCAGCAACAGGACCCTGAGGGTGTTGACACATGTTGCGCCATCCTGCTCTGACCTCCAGGTGAACCGAGCTGTCCACCTAAAGCCCTTGAGCCTCAGGACGTCAGCAGGGTGCCAAGTAGCTCCAGAGCAGGTGCCCCTCGGGAGCCCGTGGTGGTGGCAGGTCAGGACTTAGACAGATCCCTCCCGTATCTCAGCAGCCAGTTAATGGATTCCAGTTTTGTGGACAGGGAGCCTCACAGACCTCCGTCCCACCTCAGTCTCTAGTGCTTAGCGTGCAGATTTCACATCCTCAGGATGGAAGTCAGGGCCACCCCATGGGGGCCAGGGGGAGCACATTTCCCCTGCAGCAGCCTGGGCCAGCCAGGCAGGAGAGGTATGGCCTGGTTGTGTTTTCCCAGCTGACCAGGCCTGTGAGCTCTTCATCTTGGGCCCAACCTATTGGTTAGTGTTGGTTAGTGTGCAGAGAGCTGTCAGAGACAGGAAGGGTTGCCTTTGGTCAGGGCTGGCTTGTCACAGGCTTCATCGCTCGGGACAGAACTGCAATGAGCCAGGAGTCTGTCCTCCTGCCAGTGCCTGGCTGTGGTGCCCTTCTCAGGGATGGCATTGAGTCGTGTCCGGGGGAGCAGGGGCAAGAAGCCCACAGTTGGGCACCAGGGCAGAGAACAGGCTGCTTCCCTTCAGCAAGTGGGATGGGCTGGCCGATGCGGGGGAACGTGGAGTGGGGAACACGGGTGTGTGGCAGGTGGGCTGGGGCCCCTGAGCTCCTAGAGGACACAGCTAAGCTAGGTTGTCATAGATGTTTGGAAGCCAGCGGAATGGAAACGAAGAGACAGTGAGTAACAGGAAAGGGACAGGGCTTCATCGAGAGGGGGCTGGGCGGAGCAGAGCGTGTGGGGGTGTCAGACATTCACTGACACATGTGAGGAGAGTTGCATCCAGCAGAGTACCTGGCGCCTCCAGGCCAGCCCTGGCCCCAGGCTGGACACCGAGGAAAGGTGCCCTAAAGAGGAGACCTGTGTGCATGGTCATGAGGCACCAGCGACTGCACGCACAGGGAGGGGGGAGTTGGAGGGAGGTGTAGAACTAGGTGAGGTGCTGGTAAGAGGAAGTCAGGACAGGTAAATAGGTGGGACCTGGCAGCTAGGCCTGATGGGAGACAGAGAGGTAGTTACTGGAGCAGCGTCAGGGTTGGAGACACCAGAGTCACTTGGGATTGGTTGACTATGAGCCACTGGGGTTACTCCTAGAGCTCTGCTCACCTGCCCTGGCAGCGGGGTATGTGTGTGAGCGTGGAATTACTGGGTCACGTGACTGTGTTAGCATTTTGAGGAACTGTCGGACTGCTTTCCAAAGTAGTTGCACCATTTCCCTTTCCCATCAGCAGTATGAGGGTTGCAGCTTCCCTACATCTTCACCAACATTTCTCTGACTTAAAAAAAAAAAAGTTTTTATTGATTTTACTGATTTTCGAGAGAGAGGAAGGGAGAAGGAGAGAGAAAGAGAAATATCAACGAAAAAAAGATCAATGAAAGAAAGACCAATCAGTTGCCTCCTGCACACCCCCTTCTGGGGATTGAGTCACACCCGGGCATGTGCCCTAATTGGGAATCGACTGGCAACCTCAGTGCATGGGAGACCTCTCAACCAACGGAGCTATACCGGCCAGGGTTATCTGACTTTTTTTTATATATATATATTTCTTTATTGATTTCAGAGAGGAAGGGAGAGGGAGAGAGACATAGAAACATCAATGATGAGAATCAATGACCGGCTGCCTCCTCCATGTCCCCTATTGGGGATTGAGCCCACAAGCCGGGCATGTGCCCTTGGCCGGAATCGAACCAGGACCCTTCAGTGCGTAGGCTGACGCTCTATCTACTGAGCCACACCGGCCAGGGTTACCAGACTTTTTTATTCTAGCCATCCTATAGTGTGGGGGTGCAGTGGTTTTGATTTGCATGGCCCTAATTACTGATGATATTGAGCATCTTTTCATACGATTGGCCATTTGTGTATCTTCTTTGGGAAAATGGCTATTCCAGTCATTTGTTTCCTTTTCAGTTGTTTTTTGTTGTTGTTTTTATAATAGAGCTTTAAGAGTTCTTTATGTCGCCTAGATACAAGTCCCTCATCAGATACATGATTTACAAATATTTTCTCCCATTTTGTAGCTTTTCTTTTCACTTGTATTATTGTGCTCTGAAGTACACAAGTTGTACATTTTGTTATCTGTTTTTCCTTTTGTTGTGCTTTTAGTGTCACGTGTAAGAAACCATTGCTTAACCCAAGGTCTTGTGGTCTCAGCACCATTTGTTGGGAGACGGCTTTTTCCTCGCTGAGTGGCGTGGCACCCTTGTCAACAGTCAGTTGGTCTTGAACAGGAGGGTGACATCGAGTTCTGTGTCCTCCTCCCCCTCCCAGTTGAGTGGCTGTGGGCAGGTCTTTCCCTCTGTCTCATTTACTCAGTGGGCACAGCAATGCTTCTGTTGTGTCATGTGAGGTCATAAAAGTGCGATCACACTGAAAATTAACCTTAAGATCCTGTATAATCATCAGTCCTGGTCCCTCTGTGGCCTCACACATGGCCTTCCTGCCTGGGCTCTGGGTCCCCACCTGGTCACTGTGGGGTGTTAGGGGCCTTGAAGCCTATGAGTCACAATTCCCTGAGAGGGGGGAGGCAGGGTGGGTCTGTGTCTGTGCGTCCTCCCCCAAACCGAGTCAGGCCTGCTGGCTCCAGGCCCTTTCTTGTTTTGAGCGGTTCTTATTTTAGAACAACCACTGGGGTGGAATCTTTCCAGAGCCCAGGGGGTAAACACAGGGACTCCAGGACCTACGCACCAGCTCTTGTTTAAATTAAGAGGAAAGCATGTTTTCTTCCCCTCGTGTGAGCTTGGCGCCTTTCATGTCTGCCCCCTGAGGAAGGCAGTCGGTAGCCCTCGAGGTGAGGAATGATGTTTGGGTCTGTGGCTGGTGGTTCCTGGATTGTCCAACCACCAGCTCAGGCTGGAGAATGGCTGTCAGGAGTGATTAGGAGATTGGCCCCAGGGTCCCGAGGGGTGGGGGCTGGCGCTGCTGTCACTGGCCTCAGAGTCACCAGCAGAAGCTCCGGCTTCTGGGCCTGATACAAGAGGTGAGCCCCACTTCTGCAGGGGAGCCAGGGCCAGCTCTGGGCTGTGGTGCCAGCCTCAGCCGGCACCCTGTGCTGTGTCATGTGTGCGCCTGGTGTCTGAGACCCCAGGCAGGAGAGCAGCACAGGGAGGTCGAAACAGACCCTTGGCTGCCCCACCGTGCGGCTGGGGGCTCTGCAGTCAGGCCTTGGTGGATGCTCCTCTCTAGCCAACCACTCACATGACCTTGGGCACAGGCTTCGGGGAGCTGTGTAAGAAGGCCCCTGACCCCTAGGAAGCTCCCTCAGGGGACGTATGCTGGCTGCTTTCATAAGCGTAATCCTCTGAAAATCCCTCCGGGTGTCTTTCCTATCTTCCAGATGAAGTGTCAAAACCAAGGCTGCCCTCTCGGGCCTATCCTGTTTTATCCCATCACCACCCACAGGCACCTCCCTGGGCCTTGTCTGCCCTCGCTCCTCCGGAGCTGGTGGTGCTCTGCAGGGCTCCAGGCTTTGATGAGCAGGCTCCTGGCAGGCTGCGGCAGAGCAGGGCAGGCCTTCGCTGGGGCTGAGCCTCAGGGGAAAGGTGCAGCCGCCCGGCTGGAGGAGAGAGAAGGGCCTGGGAGGCCCGAGTGGTGACAGGGGAAGGGGCGGGAGAGGATTACAGTTAGGGCCACGCTCTGAAGCTTGTCTGCCAGTCCAGGGGTTTGGGTTGTCTGCCCTGAAGGTAGGAGACACAGCCCCTCCTGGCAGTTGTGGCCTCCATGCCTCTTCAGGCTCCTGTCCCCACACCCTCCCCCCCTGGTGCTCCTGCCCCTCCCCGCCTCCCCCCACTCCATGCCTTCATAGCCTTTGCCTAGGCCAGTGATGGCGAACCTATGACACGCGTGTCAGAGGTGACACGCGAACTCATTTTTTTGGTTGATTTTTCTTTGTTAAATGGCATTTAAATATATAAAATAAATATCAAAAATATAAGTCTTTGTTTTACTATGGTTGCAAATATCAAAAAATTTCTATATGTGACACGGCACCAGAGTTAAGTTAGGGTTTTTCAAAATGCTGACTCACCGAGCTCAAAAGGTTCGCCATCACTGGCCTAGGCTGAACTCCCCCCCCTGCTGTGTCCACTTGGAAAAGGATGCACAGGTGGCCCTTGGGGTGAGGGACCCCACGGTAAAGTGGACGGGGACGTGGGTTTGGGGCCTCGCTCTCTACTCTCAGCAAATAGTCCAGCCTCTCTGGAGTTGATGTCACCCCTGAAGTGGGCTGAGAGGCAAGTGTGTGGGACATTCAGGAGCAGGCCGGCCCAGCCGACGCTCAGTGAGGGGTGTCCAGGACTCTGGGGTACCCCCCTGCTTTTTCTCTCCTTTCACCCTCCATCTGTCCTCCCGATTGGTGGGTCCTGGCCCTGGACACTGAGCAGTGCAAACAGCCCTCCCTCCCCCAGCCCAGGGGTAGCAGCTGGCCTAGCCTCACTGTTCTGTAAGGGAACCTCCTCCACAGCGAACGCCCCTCCTGTCTCACAGACCCAGAGACACTAAGGCGGCAGCCAAGAGCCTGCTGCTTTGAAGAGAAGTCCAGGGTCATGGGGGCACACGCTGTGGTCATGGGGGGAGGCTCCTGGCGTCTCTGCCTTGAGGTGCGGGCAACGGGAGCATCCCCGCTGCCCCTATCAGGAGTGAGCATGGAAATGGGCCCAGCTGGGAGGAGGAGGAGGGGGAGGAGGAGGAGGAGGAGGCAGGAAAGGCCCAGCCTTACCACCATGCCCTGGCCCCAGCGTTCATCTATTGGTGGGCAAGAGGTAGACAGTTGTTTTGGGGGCCTTTCCAGCTGCTGTTCTGTGAACTAGCACTTTTCTCTCCCCTCACCATCCCAGTGAGAACCCCCTGCCCACGGTGGAGATTGCTATCCGGAACACAGGGGATGCTGACCAGTGGTGCCCGCTGCTGGAGACCCTGACGGATGCCGAGATGGAAAAGAAGATCCGTGACCAGGACAGGAACACAAGGTACTCTCCCCTGCCCCCCAGAACCCCTGCAGCTGGCTCTGCCCACAGGCACCGTCTTCCAGGCAGAACCATCACTCCCCCCGTGACCCAGTTTCTTTCTGGGAGGACCGGAGGACGCCTGTGCGCCCCTAGGGTACAGGTTTCAAACCCTGCACGGAGCAAAAGCAAGCCCTGAGATTGGGTCTGACCACAGCCCAGACCCAGGTTTCAGGACCCCTGAGGAGGTGGGTAGGGCCTGAGCAGGCAGGTGAGAGGACAGTTTCAGGGCCCAAGCAGCACATGGTCAAGGACACACACGGGAGGTGTCCTGTCTGTTCCCACTCCCCAGCTGCCCTAGAGAGCCCTGGGGGAGGTGGGGGCAGTGGCCCAAGGCTGGGAGCTGGCCCTGGGTCACCACCCTTTCCGCCCCTGCAGGCGTATGAGGCGTCTCGCCAACACTGCCCCAGCCTGGTAACCAGCCCATCAGCGCTCGGCTCCCACACAGCGTTCAGAAGACCAACCTGCCTCTCCATCTTCTGGCAAAGAGGGAGGCGAGGGGGCAGCCCAGGGCCATCCTGAGGGGCATGGGCAGGCGGGGAGGCCTTCCAGGTCGCCCTCCCCCAGCACAGTTTCCATTTGCTGAGCCCTAGTCCCCACCCCCCATCCCTGATCAGGAAAAGGCTTCATTTTGGTTTGTGTTTTGTTTTTGCATAGGAGCCCCAGGAAGGGCTAGCAACACTTTTTAAATAAAAGGCAACAGGTCGTGTTCCATTTCTTCAAAGTGGCTGCATAAAAATAAGAATGGAGAGCAGGGAGCGGGGCCTGTGGGTGGTGTGGCCAAAGCTGGCGCCGGGCCTCACCCTGCTCCACCTCCGATCCCCAGGTGGCTGTTGATGGGGCTCCATGGCTCCATTCTCAGCCACCCCAACCCCTGCAAGACCGAGGCAGAGTATAATCCTTGCTTTTCCTTGGGCCCTCCAGCTTCCCCACCTCCACCCATGCTTGGATCTTTGTAGAGCAGGAGAAATGAAAGGTGTGGTCATGAGGCTCAGTGGGCAGGGGGCCCACTTGTCTGTTGATTGCAGCCCCTCCCCCACACCCTTCGCTCTGCTGGTCAAGGTGACCGGGCCATCCCAGCCAGGACATTGCTTCTCTGGAGTCCCTTGCAGAGGCCCCATCCTCTGTAGACACTGCAGGGGCATCCCCAGCCTGGGAGCCTGTGCCCAGCTACTCCAGCTCCAGCAGGTGTGCAACACTCTAGCCACACCTCCCAGCAGTGTGCATGTAACAGGTGGCCTGGGACCCATCTCCACCCCGACTGGCACCTGGCCCAGGCCAGCTCCTCCCTCCCAGGCTGGTTGTGAGGATGACAGCATGTGGAGCAGCTCACCTGGCTGGTGGTGGCCTGTGGGTGGGGTTATGTGGAGAGGAGGCACGCCCTGGGCCTCTGCCCAGCTCTACCTTCAATGAGTTTGTCATCACCTCTGCATCCTCACCTCATCTGTTAATGGGGGGATGCTCCCACTCTACAGAAGGGACAGGGGGCACGTGTGGGTCTCGCTAAGTCAAGCACTGCTTGGTGAACTGGCCACACGGCTGCACTTACTGAAGACAGTGGGCCAGACCCCCAGCCCTGGGCTGGTGCCACCTTTAGTTGCTGGCACATCCTTCCCCACCAGGGCAGGGCTGAAGGTCAGGACTGCTCTGCTCCCCAGGAATGTGACAGAGGCCCCGTGGCACTTGGTTCCTCGCCTAAGTAGGGGTTGGGGCTCTGGGTTGCCAGGATGTAGGGTAAGGTGGGCCTTGCTGTCTGGGCTGGGGTTCCTGTGAGCATGTCCCAGGACGTGACAGCTCCCAGGGGGTTGTCCACAAGCTCCTGCCCTTCCTCCAGGAGTGGAACTTGCTGGAACTTGCTGGGCTTCATTGGAAGGCTTTGACAAAGAAGAGTCTAGGCCCAGTTGGCTTTAGAAACTAGTAGACTCCATTAACAAGGTGTTTGCTATGTCTGTGGGCAAACAGCCCTGGGGCTCCACAACTGGTGGGACGGAACAAACCCTGCCTGCCTCAATCCCACTGGGTAGGAGCCCACCTGCCTGGGAGAGGCTCGGGTCTGAGCCCCCACTGCTGCAGGGTCGGCTGCTGCTCCATGAGGGTTCCCTACAAAATTAAGGTCTACTCTGTGGCGAATATTTCTGTCTTCCATGAACATGACCAGCCCTGTGCTTCTGAACATCCTGGAATAAACCGTATCGCAGGCTGGTCTAGAGCAACAGAGAAAGCTGGCCAGGCCATCTGGTGCCCACTTTACAGAAGAGAAAAGTGAGCTGTGGGTTGGATAAGGCTGTGGTCCTCAGCTATAAAGGCAGGGACAGGACACCCAGAGTCCTCAGCCTCAGCCAGTGCTAAGGTGGAAACTTCTCCAGGCTCTGGAGTCACAGGAAGCAGAGCCCAGCCCGGCTCTCCCCTCACCTGACCTCCCTCCTGGAGCCGTGGCTGCATCTGTCAGTCACTTGTCTGTTAGTCGCTCAGCTGGGAAATGGGGCAAAGGTCCACTTGTTGGTTGTTCGTGAGGGCACCACAGGCAGGAGTCCCCATCCCCCAAACCAGGCTTGGCACAACCAGAGACAGCCCAGTACTGGTCCCTGCCACCAAGATCTGGCCAACCCCTCTGGCTGGCAGAGAACAGAAGCCCACCACAGGTGGCGTTTGTCCAAGTCTCCACTGAGGCACTGGAGAGGCTAGGATGAAAACCCCGTGTCCACTATCTGTGAGCTCAGAGCTCTGCTGGACAGCTGTGAGCAGGTTTTTGACCCTCTGAGCCTCCCATCCTACCACCTACAATTGGTCTGAGAGAGCAGTTCCGGGCAAAGGGTGGGCAGGGCGGTCCAGGCTCAGTGGCCCCAGGTCAGGGCCAGCAGCATCTGCCCAGCACGGAAGGGTGTGGCCAGGGAGGCAAGGGGAGCCAGTGCTGTGGTCCAAGAGGCTGCAATTATTGTTTATTCGGATGGCCAGCCTCCAGGTCAGGTTGCTCTGCTGCAAGCAGGAGTTAGGGTGGGATGCAGGCTTGACAGATGTTGGAGAAACAGGCTCCTGGGGCTGGCCTGCCCTGAGTGGGGTCACTGCTGCAGGGGTCCTGGCTGTTCCTCGGGGAGGGGCAGGTAATTGGGGTCCTCTTCTGGGGCATCCAGTAGCAGCTTCCTGTGGGGAGCGGCCCAGGTTGAGCTGAGGCCAACGTGGGTCCACCAGGGAGTTAAGAGCTGTCTGAAGGAGGGTAGCCACAGGGTTGTCACCTCCAGTACTCACAGGAAGCCGGGGGTCAGCAGCAGCCTCTTGCCTCCAGGCTGGTTGGGAAAGACATCTTCCAGGAAGTAGTAGATGTGACCCACAGCAATCCCTGTGGGAGAGCAGAGGACTGCCAAGGCCACTGCCTCCATGGTCCAGAGCCCAGGGCCAGCACAGCCTTGTTCTGGGCTTCCATGTGCAGCTCTGGAGGCCTAGTCAGGCCCAGAGGAACCTCAGGCCTCAGAGCATGAGTGCCCTATGTCCTGCACAGACTGCCAGCCCAGGATGGGGCTGGGGTTGGCCCGAAGGACAGTGTTCCAGGACCCAGGACCTGAGAACAGCGGAGTGGGAGCCATGGCTGGAACGCTGACCTACCCATCCCACCCCAATCAGGACTCACAAGCATCAGCAGATGAGGCCTGAAGATGTGAAAGAGGACCTGAGAACAGCGGAGTGGGAGCCATGGCTGGAAAGCTGAACTACCCACCCCACCCCAATCAGGACTCACACAAGCATCAGCAGATGAGGCCTGAAGATGTGAAACCTGTAGGCCTGCTGGCTTATTCAAGGGGCTATAAGAATAGAGATGCTGGAGGTAGGAGGACAGATGAGAGGTCCGGGGGGGTGGGGGTCTGGCAGAACAGCCAGCTTTGATGGGCTGGATGGACAGGCAGGCTCACCCAGCAGGTCCACGAGGATCGAGTTGCCCAGTAGCATTGAGAAGCCCATGAGTGCCCAGGGCAGGAATGGCGCCTGGAAGGTAAGGAGGCCGAAGAAGTTGACCCTCACTTGAGGGCTGCGGCGGCTCCACACGTACACCAGCATGGCTGTGAGGGCCTGGCCCAGGAAGAACAGGCTGCCCAGGAGCCCTAGCAGCTGGGCCAGAGTCAAGGTGCTAGGAGGCCCTCCTCCGGTGCAGGCCTCAGCCCTGCCCAGGGCTCCTCTGATTTGCTAGATCCCCGAAATCCTACTGGTTTCCCCGCCTTCAAAGTGTGCCCTTCCCAATCTAAGGCCACTTGTGGCCTTCAGGCCCCACGTGATCTGGCCCTGCCTTTCCACCTCACCCCCGCCTCCCAACACTGCCCATCCTCGTCCCAGCTTCTCCTGCTGCTGGCATTCAGGGCTCAGCCCCAAGCCCCCCACCTGGCTGTCCTTCACATCATGCTGTGGTGTGGGGTTTTCTGTTGTTTTGTTGTTGTACAAACCTGAAGATCTAGCTTTGGCACCTGCGGCTGAGCACACCATGCACGCTCATCCTAAGCCAGAGTAAACCTCTCTGTCCCTCCCGGCCTGCACACTGACGTCGTGCCCCAGGACCAACACAGGCTGGGCGCAGAAGTGCCTGGCCTGAGGTCCGGAGCCCGGGAAGGATACGATCATAAGGACGCCCCCAAAGAGAAACATGAAGACGAAGTCAGCCGTGCGGCCGCGGAAGGAGCCCTCCTCCAACATGCGGCAGTAGCGGAACCTGCGGCGTCCGTATAGGAAGTGCCACCGGGCAGGGTCTCAGTCTCCCCGCTCCCTCCCGGCCGCCTCGGCACGCAGGCCCGCCCACTCCCCTCCTGGGTCCGGCAGGCACAGGATACACGAAGAGCATGTTGAAGAAGAAGCTGAATCCCAGGGGCCCGAAGAAGAGGAAGTTGGTGAGGAGCCTCCAGACCTGCGAGGGGCAGGCGGTCAGGCGCGGGGCGGACAGGGCTGGGCCAAGAGGGAGCAAGGGCGGGGCGACCTCACCTGGAACTTCCGGAACACGAGGTGCGGGTTGAAGTAGAGCTGGAAGGGGCTCAGGAGCTCCAGCTGCTGCGGAGCCAGGGGAGCGTCAGGTGCGCCCGCGGGATCCAGCCCTAACCACCGCGCACCCTCCCGGGGTGTAACCATGGCGACGCCCACCCGCCTAGGAGGCTCACCACGGCAGCTGTGGTCAGGACGCAGGCCGCGGTGTAAGCTCGGGTCACCGCCGGCACCTGCAGGAACTCGGCCGCCAGCCCCCGCCACGCCATTGAACCTCCTCAGGTACACGTGGCCCCCACTTCGGCGCGCTCTTTAACCCGCCTCCAAGCCCCGCCTCCCCGCCTTCGACCAATCCGCGTGGAAGACGCTTTGTGCCCAGGCCGTTGGGGTGGGGCCTGAGGCTAGATAACCAGTAGGAGGAGGAAGCGGGAAGCTGGGGGCGGGACAGGAACGGGGCGGGTGGAGACTTTGGGCCAATGAGCAGGCCCCCCAGTCGAGCACGTGGCGGTTGTTGTGATGGTTGCAGCGCGCGCGGGAGAATGTGCCGCCAATGAGGAGCTGGTGGCTTCTCAGCAAGCGGCGGGGAAGACCAATAGCGAAGGACCACGGGGCACTCTAGTCGAGAAAAGACGGATCCACTGGAAGGGGCGGGATATGGAGTGTGGGCGGGGCGGGAACCAAGAGGCCGGCCGTGCGCTCTGGGGCCCACATCGGCCTGGCCCGCGGTCCCGACAGCCAGAGATGGTGCCACTTCACCCACGGCAAGGCAGGCGCCGGCAGCATGTCCACATTTCTTTTTTTTTAAATATATATTTTATTGATTTTTTTACAGAGAGGAAGGGAGAGGGACAGAGAGTTAGAAACATCGATGAGAGAGAAACATCGATCAGCTGCCTCCTGCACACCCTCCACTGGGGATGTGCCCGCAACCAAGGCACATGCCCTTGACCGGAATCGAACCCGGGACCCTTCAGCAGCCGCGGCTCAGTGGTTGAGCGTGGACCTGTGAACCAGGAGGGCATGGTTAGATTCCCAATCAGGCCATATGCCCTGGTCGTGGGCTCGATCCCTTGTGGGGGGCGTGCAGAAGGCAGCCGATCAATGATTCTCATCATTAATGTTTCTATCTCTCCCTTTCCCTTCCTCTCTGAAATCAATAAAAATACATTTTTAAACTTTTTTTTTAAAGAAAGTCAACTGTTTATTGAGCACCAAATGGGGTCCACCAGCAGGTAAATGGAGATCTGTTCTGGCCTCACTGCGTTTGTGTGACATCCACCTGGAAAAACCCAAGTGTGGTGTTGGGGAGGAGGTTGGGCAAGGGGTCTACACGTGGGTATGATTCATCAGGAAATCAATGGCATTTGTAGCCCTGGGCCTGTGTGGAATGTCCAAGGGGCACGGCTAGACCGAGAGAAGAGAGGCCAGGCTGGGCAGAGAGAGAGGCAGGCCCAGCTGGGAGGCTCGGGGGGAGGCTGGGAGTGTCAGGTGGGCAAGAACCCAGCCAGGAAAGGGCTTCGGAAGCAAAGCAGTGCGAAGGCCCCCGAGCCTGGGGAGGGCCTAGGGGTGCAGCCGTGCCAAGCTTCCTGGTGGCCAGGATACTCGCAGGCTGGAGGGAAGGAAGGTGGACAGACCAATGTGCCTTCATCACCGTGGGGACCCCAGCCTGAGATGTGCGTGTGGAAGGCGAGGGATGCTCTGGACAGGACCTGAGGTCCCTGAGGAAAGTAGATTGGGGAGTACCAGCCGAGAAGTTTCTTTCGGGTGGATCCCAAGAGGAGGGACCCACGGGGGCACTAAGAGAGGTCCCCCCTGGAGCGTGGCTCAAGGAGCCCCCCACTCCGGAGGAGACGCTGGGAGCACTGGAGGGAGATGTTCATTTGGTTCAGGAGTGAAGAGAGAACTGGCTGAGACAGCAGGAATGGGACCAAGGAAGGGGCTGAGGCGATTAACAACTCGGGAAAGAGTCTGGGCCAGGAGGCTGAGACAGGGAAGGTTGAACTGGACTGAAGGGGTCACTTTGGGACAATTGGCTGCGTTTCTTCATTTTATTGTGACATTCACTTTGGGAAACTTTACAAAATGCTCTCCCCCGCCCCCCCCCCCCCCCCCCCCGCAGTCAGCCTCCCTTGTCCAGCGAAGCAGGCCAAGGTCATGTTCGAGGTGGGCTGGACAGAGTAGATGCCATCAAGGTGGAGGCATGGCAGCAGGGCGGGGATCCAGGGCCTCTGACGCCAGGGCGGGCACCTCCCTGTCACGAAGGAGCCAGCGAGGGAGGGAGCCAGTGAGGGAGGTCGGATTTCTTGTCTGCATGGGGAAGGGGAGGTTTTCCTGCCTCCAGGCACTTAGCAGGTGCTGGCTGGCCCTCCACTCAGGGTCAGGCTGGGGTAACAGAAGGGGCTGTCATAATCAGCAGGGGGGTCTGTCTCTCCTGAGACGGGGCTGATAAGGCAGGCGCCCCGTTTGGGGGTGGAGAAACACATTCCTGGAGCTCAGGGTGGGGGCAGCCAGCTGGGCCAGACATCCAGGGAGCAACTGCTGGGTTCTACTGCAGACTCTCCCTTCTCAGAGCTTTGGGATATCCTCAGATAGGGAAACGGAGGCCCAGTAGGAGGCAGAGCAGGGCCTGGGGTCCAATCCAGGCTTCTCCTGTCCAGTCTCCAGGCCTAGGACCGGCAAGTCTGGAGACACCAGGTCTACTTCTCTGACCCTCTGGCACCTTTAGACAGTTATTTATGGAAAGGAGCCCTGGGTACCACATGTTCCCAGGGGCCTAGAGACGAAGGCAGGCAGTGTGCTGGATGCTAATTTAGCTGTCTGTGCTAAGCCTGCCGGCTGGGCCACCTTCTCTCTCCTGTGCTGAGGGCTGTGGCAGGAGGAGGCCTGTGTTTCCTTGCCAAGGTGACAACGGGCCGGCTCCCAAGCTGCCTCTCTGGCCTCGTGAACCTGCCTGCTGCTGCAGAGCAAGGGGCCCCGGGATCCCCAGGTCTGGAGACACCCAGAGGATCCCTAAATCCCCTGCCCAGGTTGTCCAGTGCCTACAGGCAGTACAGCACCCCCGAGTGCCCACCAAGCCTGCCTTCCTCCTCACTGGCCTCACACACTGGGAGCGACCCTCGCCAGCCGGTGACTATCCAGGAACCTGGGCCACCGCTGCCCCACTCCCAGCCCCACATCGAAGCTGATGCTCCCATGGAACTCTCCAGGCCTTCCCCTCCCCTCCAACACACCTCATGGCCACCACCACCTCGCATTCAGGCCTCAGCCGCTCGCTTCTGGGACTGGCCCAGATCTCTGGCTCATTCATTCATTCATTCATTTTCCTCCTATCAGCCTAGATGTTCTGTTAAAAGAGGAGAGCAAGCCCAGCCAGCATAGCTCAGGGGTTGAGCATTGACTTATGAACCAGGAGGTCACGGTTCGATTTCTGGTCAGGGCACTTGCCTGGGTTGCGGACTTGATCCCTAGTGGGAGAAGAGCAGGAGTTTGCCGATCAATGATTCTCTCTCATCACTGATGTTTCTCTCTCTCCCTTCCTCTCTGAAATCAATAAAAACAATTTTTAAAAAAAATAAAATCGCCCTATCTGGTTCAGCTCAGTAGATAGAGCGTTGGCCTGCAGTCTGAAGGGTCCTGGGTTCGATTCCGGTTAAGGGCACCTACCTCAGTTGCAAGCTCAATCCCCAACCCTGATTGAGGCACGTGTGGAGGCAACCAATCAATGTGTCTCTCTCACATTGATATTTCTCTCTCTCTGTCTCTCCTCCTCCCTTCCACTCTTTCTAGAAATCATTGGGAAAAATATACTCAAGTGAGGATTAATAAAAAATAAAATAAAATAAATAACATGTTTAAAAAAAAACAGAGAATAAACCTGATTTTAAAAAATAAAATAAAATATAAAAGAGGAGAGCAAGGGAGGGTGGTAGAAATGCCTCCTACTCCAGGAAGCCCTCCCTGAAGGGACCAGAGCCCATCTATCTTCTGTTAGGCCCACACACTTAATGTTTAAATGTCATGTATTCCAAAGGCAACACATGCGCGTGGTAACAAACCAGAAGAATCAGAAACCGTCCCTAACCGGTTTGGCTCAGTGGATAGAGCATCGGCCTGTGGACTGGGGGGTCCCAGGTTCGATTCCAGTCAAAGGCATGTACTTTAGTTGCGGGCACATCCCCAGTGGGGGGTGTGCAGGAGGCAGCTGATCGATGTTCCTCTCTCATCGATGTTTCTAACTCTCTATCCCTCTCCCTTCCTCTCTGTAAAAAATCAATAAAATATATATATTTTTAAAAAAAGAATCAGAAACCAGGTATTTTTGTGTGCATGTTGGAGGCAGCTGCATTTTCCTTTTGACGACACATGGTACCCCTTGCTGGCCCTGAACATCATCCATCCAGGGCCTTTCTTCAGGGGCTGTGAGCTCTGTGCCCACTCCCTTCCAGCACATGGACCCCCAAACCCACGGTGGGTGGGCCTCTACTGCAGCTTCAGCCAGCCCCTCCCGGGAGCAGCTGTGTGGCCGTTGGCCCTTCCTGTCTAGGTCATGGGATATTTTTAGCGCCGAATCCGGAACCCACTCGGCAGCAGCTGCTTGTGGCCGAGTGCAAGAATAACAAACGGTCCAGGTGGGCTGCGTCAGGCCTGCGCAGCCGAGTGGGCGACCTGAGCCTGGCCCTCAGCCTGGTAGCAAAATCTGGACTTGGCGGGAATCAGGGGGCCTCTGGGTGGTACGGGCAGGAAGGAGGCAGAGGCTGAGTAGGCGTTAGCCAGACCCACCAGGGGAGCAGCATGTGCAAAGGTCCTGAGGTGGCATGGAAGGACGGGGAAGGCAGGCGCCATGAGAAGGAGCTGCGTGTGATGTGAGGCTGGAGAAGGCTGGGACTGGGCCGAACAGGGCCATGCAGGCTGTGGCCTCTTTCCCCAGGCACGTGACAGACAGGGAGTGAATGGGTCACGGAGACGAAGCCGCAGACCTTAGCACTTGGCAGAGAGAGGGCCGAGACGTGGGAGAGGCCCCGTTTGGGAGGGAGACCACCCACTGGTTTGGGGCACGCCGAGTCTGGGGTGCAGTGGGGACATGACCGCCTCAGGGGAGCGCTCCCTGGCCCCCCCAGTCCAGTCTCCCCAGCTCCTTGCCCCCCTTGGCTCTGCCATGCCCTCAGAGGCTCTGTGCCATGTTCTCTCTATCCCTGGCTGCTCAGTGCTGGGCCCAGGCAAGCCGCAGACCTGGACCCAGGGCTGGATCGGCAGCCTCGGGCTGGTGGTGGGCCCGGGCGCCCATCCTCCAGTGCAAGGGGCCAGTTGGAAGAGTCCATAGACTTTCCTCCAGCTTAAAGGCTGTCCTCCACAGCGGGGACATTGGAGACTTCTGGGCAGGGGCCCTTCCTGTGACAGCCATGGCTGACCCTCCCCTCAAGGCCAGTCTCTGCCGTGAATGGGCGAAGGCCTGTGAGAGAGAATGACTAGGGAAGGACTTTCTCCCGAGCCTGTGTCCTCAACTACCTTCTCCCGAACCCAGACTCTCACCTGCCTGGGGTCAGGAGCACCCATGGAAGTCCGAAGGGCATGGGAGGGAGGCGCTGGGGCTCTCCTGTCCTGCAGGAGCCCCTCCTCTGGCGGGGGGGGAGGGGGGCTCAGACTCTCCCGCTAAGCAGGGAGGGGAGCTTGACTGGTGAGTGGTCCAAGGACAAAGACCCACAGGCCCTCTGAGGGGCTGCCAGGCACGAGGCTCTTGACAAAGACAGTGGTGGAATGGGAAGAGGAGTGGGCACGCTGGGCAGGGAGAGTGGCATGAGCCAAGGTGTGGAGGCAGGAATGAACTCTGTCTC